GACGGCGAGATTCGATTCTGTGTGGATTACAGGGCTCTAAATAAGATCACACGAAAAGATGTCTACCCCTTACCAAGAATTGATGAAACTTTGGAAGCATTGGGTGGAGCGGTCTTATTTACGACTCTAGATTTAAGATCGGGGTATTGGCAAATTCGAGTAGCGGCTAAAGATAAAGAGAAGACAGCTTTTACGACGAAACAAGGATTGTATCAGTTCGTCCGAATGCCTTTTGGACTTACTAATGCGCCATCAACGTTCCAAAGAATGATGAATAGCGTTCTACGAGGTCTAACGTGGATCACATGCTTAGTTTACCTAGATGACATCGTAATTTACACTCGTGGTGGGACAGAACGGCATGTAGTGGAAGTAGCTTGTGTATTGGAGCGTTTAGCAGCTGCTGGCTCTACTCTACGACTGAAGAAGTGCAGATTCGCGACTGAAAGCATGGAATACCTTGGACACGAACTAAGTTCTGAGGGAGTTCGCCCACTGGATAGGTTGGTGACAGCGGTACGAGAATTTCCGCGACCTTAAGATGCTGTGGAGATTAAGCGTTTCGTACATTTGGCTGGGTATTACAGACGCTTTTTAGAAGGATTTGGCGCTATGATGGCTCCATTGACCAAACTTTTGCGGAAAGATGCTAATTGGGAATGGACGGAAGCGCAAGAAGCAGCATTTGAGCATGTGAAAGTCATTTTAACGCGCAAACCATTGTTGGTGTACCCTGATTTCCGACTACCTTTTAGGTTGGTAACCGATGCTAGCAAGATTGGACTCGGTGCATGCCTCATGCAAAATCAAGGCAAGGGATGGCAACCCGAGGCTTTTGCAAGTAAGGTGAATAGCAACACAGAAGAGAATTATGGAATCACAGAGTTGGAGTGTCTTGCAGTTGTGTGGTCTATTAAGTTATTCCGACCTTATCTCTATGGAAGACAATTTGTAATCGTCAAAGATCATGCAGCGCTGAAGTGGTTAATGACGAGTACGAGTCTAACTGGAAAGTTGCATCGCTGGGCTCTTACGCTTCAAGAATATAAGTTTGAAGTAGAATATCGGCCAGGCAGTACGAACGTGGTAGCGGATGCGCTATCTCGCTCTCCGGTGAAAGTTTTGGCAGCAGCTGGAAAAAGAAGGAGAGGAAGGCGACGCGTAGTCAAAGAAGGACGGTCAGAGGGTCACGAATCGCGGTGTGAGGACGGTGACTGGCGGGACGGGGCGGTAGTTACGACGAGATGTACGGATGACAAACACCCGAGAAACAACGAGGCCATTGAAGGTATGCACGAGGAGTTGGCGATGACGGAGAGCACAATGATGGCACCATTGTCACTCTACAACGACGGTGATACTACGACAGCGACGTCCGGAGTACAGCGCCACGACGGAAATGAAGGCACGACTGAAGAAGGCGCAGGCGACGTCGAAGTGACCACGACGCCAGTGAACACAACAGATGAGGTGCGAACGAGTATTGATAGCGGCGGCAAGCTAATGAAAGAGGTTTCGGCGGTAAGGGCCAGAGAGGACAACTCTACCGACGAGGAACACAAAGAAAGCGAGTAAGCACAAAGCACAACATCAAAGAAAACAACACGACCAAGAACGATGACAGACGCAAGAGCTACGACGCAACGGAGGGTTGTTGAACAGCCAGTGTCGATAAGATCGTCAAGACCAATGACAAGAGCGGCAAGAAGACGTCAAGAGGATGCAGAACGCAAGGCACGCGACGAGATGATGACAGAGGACGAGAATGTGAACAAGATGTCGACAGTGGATGAAACTCTGAACACGGACAACATCGCGGAAGACCAAGTGATGTCAAGGACGGCGTCAGATGCAAGTCCGAGTTCGATGATGACGCGTCATGATGAAGATCACAACGGCGATAACGAACGACAGGCCAGGTTGATCGCGACAGTCAGCACAAAAGACGCAAAGACGACTAAAAAGCAAAGACGACGTGTTACGTGGGCAATGGACAATGTCACGAATGCGACGGATACTAGGACTACGAGGGACGCGAATGCGACGACGCAGGTCGAAGTACCACGACGCATCACGAGGGATTACAATGGATATGGCGTCCAGAATGAAGAAGGCGAGTCGCGTGAGCGAGCAGGACGCGTCGAATATGATGTTCCTGAAAGACGAACGCTACGACCTGAGCAAGGATGGCAAAGCAGTGAACACGATGAAGAATGTTTTGTGATGAACGATGGTATGCCGACATCAAAATCGACGACGGCAACGACGTCAGAACGAACGAGAATGATACCTACGGCAGTTAATCAACGCCAAGAACGAAGGGCAGGACAGATACGAGGAGATGAACGGCAGCATGAAGAAGTCGTGACGCTTCAGCTCACGGATACGATGATCAGTGAAGCGCAACAACGGAGCCGATTGGTGCAGAAGTTACTGAAAAGTGGGACACATAAAGGCATGAAGGTTGAGACGGAGTACGGATTGGTTCTTATTGATACAGCTAATGGAAGACGAGTTGTATTACCGCCCGAACTTTGGTCTCTAGTGTTCAAGGATTGTCACCGATTCTGTATGGTCAGGACATTTACGAGCACCGCATACATACGCACGCATAGCTCAACTCTATTGGTGGCCGGACTTACAAAGAGAGGTAAAACGATGGGTGGCAGGATGCCAAGAGTGTGGAAGCCGTAAGGCACGACCAAGAGAGGTGATACCCACGTTACGAAGTCTACGAGGTGGAGATGTTGGAGATCGCTGGGCGTTAGACGTCGCAGGACCGCTTCCACAGACAGGAGGAGGACAACGATACGTTATCGCTGCAGTTGAATACGTTACGCGGTATGCAGTTGCAACAACGGTGGAACAACACACAGCAGAAAATGTGGCAAAGTTTATTATGAAGAACGTAGTACTAAGATTCGGAGTTTTTCGCGAACTACTTACTGATGGAGCTCCCGAACTAACCGGTCTTGTGATAGAAAAATTGATCATGATGCTTCAGGCGCAGCAGATTAATCCAGTTCCGTATCGCCCTCAAATGATTGGTCTTGTGGAGAGGT